ATTTAATTTGAGATAATTAAATTTATTTGATTATCTTAATTAAAGATGAGTAAATGTGATTAATTAATTTTAATTAATTTTAATTAATGTTAAGTTAATTATTTAATTAGACTAATTATCTCAATTAATTAATTTCAATTTTTAATTAACTTTAATGTTGGTCATAGTTAAAATTATCTTTGTTTATTCCAAATTTTACCGAAAGCTTTTGTACTTAAGCAATTCAGTCCATGAGTTTCAACTCTTTTCAAATTAGTCCTTTGTGTTTTGAATTTAGTCAGGTCAGGCCTTCATGTTTTGAATTTAATCAAATCAGTCATTTAATTTTCATGTGTGTTTATTGTGCATGCATGTTCTTGATTTTGTCCATTTTAGTCCAAAAATTTTAAAAATGTTTCAATTTGGTTTACCCTTCTTTCAAGCTTGCTTTTTTTAAGACTCAAACAAAAAATATAATAAATAAGTTGAATTAAAACCCCAATTTTAAAGTATGCAACCGTGTTTAAACGGAGGATTGTGAGGTGCGCGTATGCCCTTCCTCACTCCTAACCGAACCCCCGAACCTCGATCTTTACGCAGACCCATTTTAGGTGACTTGTCCCACCTTATAATTTGGACGAGTGGCGACTCCCTTCTTTTTATATTTTCACACTTAATCCCGTTTTTAAGTGGTCGTCAACAGTTTGGCGACTCCACTGGGGACTGAACCTAGAATCCTTGGTTTCCATATTCTAGGTTCACGAGGGTCGAGCTAATACTTTAACTTTGGGGAATTTTTCAACTTTTGATTTTCTTTGTTTGTTGAGTCTTTGTGGGTCTTTGTTATTTATTGTATGTGTTTGTTGTGTGTTGCTTGTTGTTTGTTTGCTCATTGTTTTAGTGGTTGCTTTGATCTTTTGTCTTTGAGTAGTTACCTTGCTACATCTTCACATGCATCATACCTTGCTTACATGTTCATGCATCATATCATCTCACATGCTCATTCATCATCGATATAACATGCTTATTCATCATGCATCATGCCTATATGCTTACTTGTTTGTGTGGATATACTCATCTTTTGCATTTGGCATGGGAGTACTAGGTGAGTCCTTTCTTGCTGTGTAAATAGGTGTGTTTGTGGGTGATATATTTGTTGAGTGTTTTACATGCTTTATTTGATTACTGTGGGATATATGTTGTTATTTTTGTGGTTGCCAGTGTGCAGGTTATTGGAGTGTCATGCCCCTTGCACACACCCACTCTCATTTTGCATTAGCTCCGTGTCGGAGGTGAACCCGACCTCTAGTCTGGAATCCTTATGAATCTGGCTTGGAAGAGCAATTCTTCCCGCTTTGAGGAGTAAGATCGGTTCCC